TCAATGATCATACAAATTAAGTTCGAGAGCAGAGGTTAGATCAAAAACATGTTGCATTTAGGGTTTCTTTCCTCTAATCAAGAAGATTATACATGCAAGAACCAAGTAGTGCCTTCTTCAAGCTCCTTCTTTTAGGTTTCCTTTTGGACAGTTTTTTTTATGTTTTCTAAAGTAAATTTCTAGTACAAAAAATTTTAGTTTAAAATATTTTTTACTAATTTTTTTTTTTTAGAAAAGAGTAAGAAAGTTATCTCAAACAAAATCTTAGTTTCTTATTAAATTTTATATGAACATAGATATAATCTGATGGAGTTTTAAAATCTTGTTCAATTTTTTTTTTTTTATCGAGTTAAAGACATGACTAAGCATTAAACAATCATAATTAATTATTTGTTTAATGCTATTAGATGTTATGTAAGTTATTTAGAAAATTTTAAATATTAGTATGAAATTATATAAATCTTTATATCTACCAATTCATTTGCTATTTTCATTATATTTACACCTCTAATAAAATACACAATTTTTCAAGTATATAAAATATTTCATCATATTTATACCTTTTATAACAAACCTATTTTTTAGAATTTAATAAATATAATAAATTTGATACAAGAATATAGAATAAGTCATCAAATGAACTATCAAACAAACATTAAATGAATTGATGAGTTATATATTTCTTAAGCTCAATTAAGAAATATGCTTTAAATAAGTCTTATGTTTTATGCATTTGCATCATTAATTATTCTATAAATTAAGTTAAGCTTCCATTAATATGGCATTAAATCAAATGATTGCTATTATTTATTAAAACAATGGAGATCAAAGGTTATGCCTTACAATCATTTTCTTATTCAAATCATGCATTAACTTGATTGATTTCCACATTAGATCTAAGATCAAGCATAGCACTGATATAATAATGATCGACTAATAAAACATTAATAGATATCATTATTTAATCAAGCATTCATAATACATAATAGGTAGAGAGAAGTTGTTTTGACAGACAAACTTGTCAAAAAAATACATAAAATTAAAAGGAGCATTTTTAGTGACTTTTATGTCTTCAAGTCCTTCTAAACTTATAAATCATATAAATATTTAATTTGTAAATCATCATTATATATAAATTCATATTTATTTATTTATATGTTTTCATGCATAAAATAATTAGTTTAGCAAGAAAAAACATTATAAAAAGTTCTTAAATGATATGTTTATATGTTAATTAGTAATTCATTATTGCAAAGTTTTGTAATCTTCATATGAGATGTTACAGATTTGCTTGAATAATTCCCATGGCAAATATTAGTGAACTTCTACATGAAATGTTAAGTAATTTCATAAGAAGCTATATTTAACTTGTAATATCACACCAAATAGCTATAATATCAAAAATCTGACCTAACTTAGCCAACCGACATTCCTCACTTTACACACCAAAATCTCTATACAAATACACTTAAAAAAGAATCTAGAACCTTATTTCCATCGCTTATACATAAGCTTTCAAAGGAGCGTTCATAAAACAAACCAACATGACTTCATTTAGGACTGGCTTTTTTATTGCTTCATACAATAAAATTTATGAACAAAAATTAAAATTTTTGTACTATAAAACCGCTTTAAGAAGCAAGAAAAAAACTACTCCAACGAAGCCTAAATCTAAGCCATCTTCTCATAAGCCTTGGTCAACTTTGGAAGCTAGCTTTCCAGAGCCTCGTGAACTCCAAGCCACTTAAATTAAGTCATCATACACCTCTTTACATCGAATAAATTACTTCATAGATTACATTTCACCAAGAGTTGACCATATCCAATGTGTCAATATTGATTGATGGAACCATCAAGATGAAATTTGTCTATGAAGGCTATTAACAATAAATTTGCTTAACCTCACAAATGGGAGTGACTAAATATCATATATGACAACCGAGTAAACCACTCACCCCAATATATATAACCTCTATTTAGAGAAGATTTTGCATGACTTGCTAATAAATCTTGAGGATAGATATAGCAAAAAGAGATGAGACAGATATATGAAAAGAAGAAAATAGATGATTAATTTTTTTTATTTTTTTTTTAAAGAGTGCATATGGGGAGTTCTATGTTGCTTTTTTATCTTTTCTTAAGATAATTACATGGAAAGTGGAGATCAAAGAACTCGTCAAGAAATGATGTTTAGAAGAATATGATAATGTAAATAGGTGCTATGTTGGCAAAGAGGGCAAATTATTCTATGTGGACACTGAATGCCATTCAGAGACCAATCAAAATACATCACATCAATTCCCGCTCGATACCGTGACTCGGTACCACTGACGTGACGCATTTTATTGGTCTCCGGACGTTAAACTGCATTCAGCGTTTGCACAAAATAATTTCTTGGCAAAGAGGGGAAGTAACACAAATAATGAGATAACAAGCAATCATGACTAAATCCCCGCAAAATTATCAAGGCACATTCATGTCTAACAATGTAACATCATATTTCGAGCAACATCCAATAAATGAAAATTTTTACAATCAATCATGTCTTTTTATTTAGTATATTAACAAATAGTTTCATGAGGATATTAGTGCAATTATATATATATATATAATCTAATCATGATCATGGCCACTATTAGTTCTGCCACCATGTCCCCAACTGCGCTGCCAACCTTTAGAATTAATTCAAAAATTAATTGTATTTGCTTATTCATTACAAGCCTCCATTCTCTCCATAACCATTTTTTAAAACTATCTTTTACAAAAGATACCGGAGAATCAAACGAGAATGTAATAGCATCATTGATATTTAGATGAGGCAAAAGTCAATATAAAGAAGTTTGTTATAAGAAACAAGAAGGAAACAAAAAGCTCTAAACTAGATGAGATACTTGGTACCATTAAATTATATGGATGGAGGAGGTTCCATTTTAAAAAGAGTATCCATTAGATATAAAACCGAGAGGAGTCAATCGGACAATCTTGAGAAACTCAAATTAAGGAGATGGCAATCGCCATCCTTAACTACTCATGTATAAGATGGCAAGTCTATTGGCCAAGTTAGGAAGCAAAAGATTATAACAATTAAAAAGAATAAAGGTGAACATATAACATGCAAGAAATTCATGTTTGCACAACTAAAGAGTACATATGAGCAAAAAGAAGAGAGTAGAGAAGCATAGTAGTACGTGAGCACAAGAAATAATGGCGTGTGAGTGCTATTAATTTCACGAGCACAACCACCGATGTTTAACTTGGTTGGTGGGCGAGTACGGTTGGGAACCCCCAACCCGTGCTCAATCAAGTGCGGGCCTAGTGATTTCTGAGGTGGGTGTCTCTTTTAGGTCAGCCGAGGATTAGTCACGCCAACAAGCCAGCAAGCGCCCTTTCGGTGGTGACAGCGGATGGGTACCCCGTTCCAAAAAAAATATCACGAGCACTGACATGGGAGAGCTTGATAGCATGCAAAACAATAAGCAAGCATATGCCTTGGCATGAGGGTGCACTCAAGCAGAAAGGGGAGCATCTAGCAAGCGATATTGGATGAAATAGAGGAGTGCGGGGTGAGGAAAATAAAGGCTAGGCTTTATAGCTTAGCTCTAATTCCACGTTAACAAAATATTTTGATATCTTATTCAATAAATAAGAGTAGTTATTTATACAACAATAATAACTATCATCAAATTTTTATCCCACTATATAAGGTCGGCTACATGAATCCTTGTCCTCCATTGTTTTCTGTTAAGAATCAAATTCTCATTTAAATCTGAAAAAAAAAATCATTTCTAATATTTTCAACTTCGAACTTTGAACCTCGAACTGCAATACCATAAGCCAGACACTATGGCCTCATGAGCATGCGAAGGGGTCCAACAGCCGATACAATGGCAGCGCCCTTTGTATCCAAAGGGGAGAGCAACCATGACAAAGAGGGCAGTGAAGGTCAGGCACATCATTATCATTAAACGAAGATGAAGAGGGAATGGAATTGTTTTGTTGCAATTAAAAAAATTGAGTATCATACAATCACACTGAAGTTAGGTGTTAAATATATAAACATTTAATATAAAATTGTTCCAAATTATAAAAATCCTTAAGTCAGCTAACATGAGCTCACTCAACAAATTATATCCATCCCTTAATTACAGAAATGCTACTAGACTAACCTGACACTAATCTGATAGGTCTTCCAGTTGAACTAAACTATTTATATGGTGACCCAACGATGGAGTTTAGCCTTTGTTGTTGTTTCCTAATTAAATAACTAAACTACTGCTGCTTCGAATACCCAAAACATGCCTAAATAGACATTAAGCAATCATTTTACATGCTCCGAACACAATTTAAGATTTTGTTTGGGACGGCTTTTTAATGCTTCTTAAAGCAGCTTTTTAGTAAAAAAAAATTAATTTTTTACTAAAAAGCTATTTTAAAAAGCAGGAAGAAAGCCGTCCCAAACAAAGCCTAAATTTTTTTTTTTAGACTGCTTTCTTACTATTTCGTAAAGTTGCTTTCTAACAGGATAAAAAATAATGATCTACAACTATCCCAAATAAAGCCTTAACAGCACGAGATTTTGTTAGCAGGTTAAATGAATCTGACTAAATGGAAGTTAAAACTACAAAAATTATAAAGCAGTTGCAACAGATAAGAAAAATAGAGGAAAATGATGGTTATCACTATCGCTCCTCCATTTTATATCTAAATATTTGTAATTACTCACAACAATTACTGTCAGTGATAGATACTGAATATTTTCTATTAGCTATTAGCCGACATTCTGCAACATCGAGACATCTCATACAGACGTACGTAGCAGCACGCATAGCCGTATAAGAATAAATTAATATTCAAAATCTATAAGCCTGACACAATTTGCCAATCAAGCGCTTCCAGTCATTAAATAATTCTAATTAAAGACTTCATTTTATGATCAGCTTGATATGAAACGTAAGCTTTTAACATAGTCAAAATACTGAATCAGCAGACGGCATAAACTAAACAAAGCCTGCGTTAGTCAATAGTAATAAAGTAAAGAAATCTCCAATTTATTGAACAAAAAGATTATTTCCATGAACGTAGGTAAACAAAATTCATGAAGCCAAGTTAAAATAAAAATAGCTTACCTCATGGTGCAGGAGAAAAGCTGGTCACCAACAAATTAAGTAAACTCCTGCGCCAACTTCATCTAAAAATCACTTATTACTCTATAAAAGAATCCTTCCTTGCCATTCTACTCCTATCCAGTAGCACCTGCAATCACAAAATTCAGCTGTTATAGACTACAAACCTTCAATAAGTTTGGCCACTGGCAAGCATCAGGAAATGGCTCTGCGACTACAAGTGCTTGTTTTTACCCTAGTCATGATCATGATCATCAGATTCATGCCTAGGAGAGCATTTGCACAGTCTAGTGACTGCACATCAACAATCATCAGCCTTGCCCCTTGCCTGAACTACATAACTGGCAGCAGCGATACACCGGCTGTGACATGTTGTACGCAGCTGGCAAAGGTAGTGCAGACAGACCCCAAGTGCTTGTGCTTGGTCCTCAATGGCGGAGCATCACAGTTCGGAGTCACTCTTAACCAGACAAAAGCTCTGGCTCTCCCGGGCGCATGCAATGTTCAGACTCCGCCAGTGAGTAGATGCAACGGTATGTTGTAGCTTTACATGTCTCGACATCTTTAGTTTCAATAAAATAACCACTAGTTATGCAAAAGAGAGATTGGATTACAATCACAATTGATTATTTCTACTAGCTATACAAGTCTCATTATTTAGTTGCAAGGGTATAACAAATAAAAAAAAAATTATTATTGAAAAAATCCACTTGCCATTACAGATGCTACTTCACCGGCACCCGCACCAGGCAGTGGATTGGATAGTGCTCCCGGGAAAACCTCCCGAGGAAGTTTTCTACAACCAGTAGCTCTTCCTATTCTCTTCTCTGTGGTATTCATCATTTTGGTCGGCTTTTCAATGCATTATATCAGCTTCTAAGCATCAATCGGCTCTCTGCTCTAGGCCTCTACAATCATACCTGCTGATATAATGCTCTTTACCCTGTGATTCTGCGTAATGTTATGCTCTTTGAAAGCTTATGTGCTGTATGTAGTTTAGTAACAGTAAATCTACAATGCTTCTTTCATCAATTATATTCTCAGTAATGTACTAGCCAATGTTTGTATTGTATCCAGTATACTAGAAACTTGTTTTAGCCTTCTATTGGCAGCATTCATGTAATGGCTGAGAATTATTGAGCAAAGCCAAAACCAGAATCCTAAAATTCATTAAGTTAGATGCTAAAACAATGATGCAACGATAAAACGTATCTGGAAGTATAGAAAACAATGCAATTAAGCAAGAAAAAAATTATGATTGATTCAACATTAAGAGAAATTTCATAGATCAAACATATTTTTTTGGACAAACAACCTAAATAAAACATATTCAGCAATTCAATGCAAAAACTGTCCTCTAGTCAAGCCAGTCAAGATCATAACACTAGGTTCAGAAAGACATTAGTCTGATGAAATGGATTCACGCCATGCATACTCCCTTGCTCCATTCTGGTCTACAATCTTGATCACGAAGTTCGGTGGAGCAACAAACAGTCTTGACCGGATTTCCATGATGCATTTATCTACAAGATCAATTGCCTCTTCCAGTGACATCCCACTGCGAAAATACCTATCCATCATTGCCAAGGAGAAATAGGAACCATAACCAAATGCACCTTTGTCGATCTTGTGGAGAGTTGCGATGTAGTCAATGTAGTAAAGAGATGGTCCAATACCCTTATCATAACCAGCTAGTAGAATGTTAACAAAATATGGGTTCTGGAAAAAAGGCATAGAGAATTTAACATTGGTTAGAGTATTTTTTATAATAAACTTCATGCAACTATATAAATGCAAATAGAGAGCTTCAATAAAGAATGTTTGCATACAGAAGAAATAATTATGATCCTAAAATCAACTTGCCTTTGTCTATCAGCTTGTTGCGTTGACATTATGATTATATTAATTCAAGGAAAACTTAAATCAAGTCAATAACTGAGGAAAATGTGCCCATCGCAGCTCTAAAATTTAAAATCAAGGTTCCAGCCTAGAACCATTCCACAATACCAATGATAAACTAAACAGAAAAAAAGACCAAAACTTTAACCAAGATGGCAATGAATTTAGACGGGCAATGAAGGGATTGCTATGCAATTGTTCGAATGATGGTCAAGTAATAACCAGAAATTTCCTATGATGTTGATTGGAGCAAAAGAATCAATTTGTATGCTCATTGGAATCAATTAAAACATCCATTCATAGGAATCATAATTGTGATTATTTTAGCAGCGACCACTACTGAGAAGTAGGGCACTTGCCAAAAATCAATTAAATATTCATGTATGAAATTATGTAAGCAAAAAACAGCAGCTGTGAAATCAAAGAAAGTGAGCAGGTGATGTACGCAAATAATTGCAAGCTTTAAGCACCCGTACAAAACCACAAACATGGTGATGTGGTTATTTTTAGAATACTTCAATTTTTTAACGTGCTAATTCTTGCAGCCAATTCATGTTATCATCGCTTCACAACAATGTTTTGGAGCGAAATGGGATAAGATGAAAGTTTCTCTCAAAGTAATTGCCATCACACATCTGGTTGCACGAGCTGGTACAATGATTTGAAAAAAGATAGCCCCCACCTCCTATCGCCACTACGACAAGACTTGTTTTCCACACTCTCACTTCACTCCTACCACCTTTATAGTTATTCTATTCCATACCATCACTTCGCTCCTGTCTTCTTCTATAGCCATTCCACCATTCTATTTCTATGATGCCTACAGTGCAAATCCTAGGCTATCTGATGTAGAAAAAGTGAGAATCATTATACCACTTGATGAGGGCAAAAAAAAAAAACTTGATTGCATCCTGCAATCAAGGTTGTCCCCCTAATCTTGACTTGCTTCCCACAAAGAGCATCAAATGGTTGCAGTGTAATATTCATGGCGGTCGAGGGAGAGTTATCGATTGTGCATTGACTCATTGAGTGAAAACCCAACACATAAAGAGTGAAAGCAATACACGAGATAATTTTTAATGTGGAAAACTCAAGAAGCAAAAATTATGAGGCCAAACCCAATTAGAAATAGCTCTATTATGTAGGTTCAAAATTGAAAAAGTACACCCTTCTCCATTATCTCAATTGGGAATAGTTCCATTACAAGGCCTAAACTATTAGGGTTATCTCCTATGAAGGTGGTGGAAAATGTCATAAAGGAGTTAAAGGAAACAAATGTCAATGTCAGTTTATAGCAGATAATGAAGAATGGGTGACAGTGATTGTCAGTGTTAGACAATGACGGGTGATGCTAGAAGATTAAAGCCGGCAAGGGCAAATACGTGACGGTGAGTGTCAACATCAATGGACTGCAAATGATGCTGGATTAGCGATGGTAGAAGTCAATGTTGGTCGACGATGGGCAAGAATGGATGGGAAATGACAGAAGGGCAACAATATGCATCAGTGTAGATCAACACAAAGCAATGATGAAGGTCAGTGTCAATTGATAGGAACGACAAATCTTAGTGTTGAAAGTGAAGTATTAAGGCGTAGTTAATGACAAACATCATAATATTCAAAAAGAAGATTGGGTGACCAAAAGTAACAAAGACGAAATTTATATAGTGAATACCAAAGATGTTTATTAACAAATAATTAAATTTTAAAACAAAATAGAAACCGAAAATCAACCTAGATAAGTTCAAACAAACTGTTTAGAAATTCGAAACAGCACACATAGCACCTAGAGAATTCCAAACAGCATTTTAGGAATTCCAAACAGCACACACAACATCTTAATTGCATCAATTCTCCCTTGGTGGAGAATTCTCATCTCCTGATGAGATCGTCTCAGAATTTTGAAGATGCGGCATTTTCGTTTCCAAAATTAACACGTTGTACTTTTTTTGGATGATCCCCTTTTCTTGTTCAAATTTGGACAAAAGTTGAAGCTTCCTATTTTTATATCGTTCAGCACAAAAATATATTTTCTCTTGTATTTTGTAAAACTCATTCTGAAGTAGATCAGTAGAACATCCTTGTGGCGAAACCCATCTGGTTGTTGGAATTTTCTCATCCGAAATAAATAACAAAGAAGGTTGACTTTCAAAATTTACAGGATCAAATTCATCTTGGGACTCCTTTGCATCAAAACTTGAAACTTTGACTTTTTAATTGATTGGACTATCCATTTTTTTTGTTTTTGATTTTTAAAAAGAAATGAAAACTCACATGACCTAAGCTCTAATACCAAATTGGTGCAACCAAAAAAATTATATCAGGATTGCAAATTAAAAGTCTTTCTTACCATAAACATAGATAAACACATATATAATATAACAATACTTGAACATAACGCCTTACCACTTATATTAATTAAGAGAAGAAATATACATATGGGGCACGAACAGTGGATAGAGAAGAAGGGGTAGAAAATCAAGACGAAATAGTAGATAGGAAGGGGAAAGGAGGCGAGCTCGCACGCTCAAAAAATAAACCCGCAGATTTTATATTTCAAAAAATCATCACATACTCTCAAAACAGCAGACAATGGGAACAAAAAACGAAGAGACAACTGCCAAGGAGAAACACAGCAGCTAATGAACACAGAAACAAAAAAAATCAGCCTAAAGAAGTTCAAACAAATAGTTTGAAAATTCCAAATAGCACATAAATCACCTAGGAAATTCCAAACAGCACATACATCACCTTGATTGCATCAATTCTCCATTGGTGGAAAATTCTCATCTATGATACCAAATTGATGCAACAACAAAAATTACATTAGGATTGCAAACTAAAAATCTTCCTTACAATAAATATAGACAAACACATATATAATATAATAATATAACAATACTAGAACACAATACCTTACCACTTATATTAATTAAGAAAAGAAAGATATAGATGGGGCGAGAACCGTGGATAGAGAAGAAGAGGTAGAAAATCGAGATGAAATAGTAGAGGGAAAGGGAAAGAAGGCTAGCTCACAAGCTAGAACAAGCATGCAGGTTTTACATTCCAAAATTCATCACATACTCTCTAAAACTATCACAAAATAGCCCCATTTATAAGGGTGAGAAAAAAGGAAAAAAAATAATTAATGCATGGAGTTAAACACCACCCAAACAACCACTAGAAACTCCTCACAATCGGCAACAAACGGGGACCGAAGGGATAGCAAACAGGAAAAATGAAGCATCAAAACAGCAACCAATGGGCACAGAAAACCGAAGGGACAGCAGCCTAAACCAAAGGGACAGCTACCAAGAAGAAAACACATCAGCCAATGAACACAAACCGAAATAAGCCTAGAGAAGTTCAAACAAACCGTTTAGAAATTCGAAACAACACACATTGCACCTAGGAAATTCCAAACAGCATTTTAGTAATTTCAAACAGCACACACAACATCTTGATTGCATTAATTCTCCCTTGGTGGAGAATTCTCATCTCTTGATGAGATCGTCTCAAAATTTTGAAGATGTGGCATTTCCGTTTCCTGAATTAACGCGTCGCACTTTCTTCGGATGATCTCCTTTTCTTGCTCAATTTCGGACAAAAGTTGAAGCTTCCTATTCTTATATCGTTCGGCACAAAAAAAAAATTATCTTGTATTTTATAAAACTCGTTTTAAAGTGGATCAGTAGAACATCCTTGTGGAGAAACCCATCTGGTTATTGAAATTTTCTCATCCGGAATAGATGACAAAGAAGGTGGACTTTCATAATTTGCAGGATCAAATTCATCTTGGGACTCCTTTGCATCATGACTTGAAACTTCAGCTTTTTGATTGATTAGACAATCCTTTTTTTTAGAAAGAAAAGAAAACTCACATGACCTAGGCTCTGATACCAAATTGGTGCAATAAAAAAAATTACATTATGATTGAAATTTTCTCATCCGAAATAGATGACAAAGAAGGTGGACTTTCATAATTTGCAGGATCAAATTCATCTTGGGACTCCTTTGCATCATGACTTGAAACTTCAGCTTTTTGATTGATTAGACAATCCTTTTTTTTAGAAAGAAAAGAAAACTCACATGACCTAGGCTCTGATACCAAATTGGTGCAATAAAAAAAATTACATTATGATTGCAAACTAAAAGTCTTCCTTATCATAAATATAGACAAACAAATATATAATATAACAAAACTAAAACACAACATTTTACAATTTATATTAATTAAGAGAAGAAAGATACATATGGGGCGAAAACTGTGGATAGAGAAGAAGAGATAGAAAATCGAGACGAAATAGTTGAGGGGAAGAGGAAAGGAGGCTAGCTCGCAAGCTATAGCTAACCCGGAGGTTTTACATTCCAAAAATCATCACATGCTCTCAAAAATTGTCACAAAACAACTCCATTTATATGGGATAAAAAAAAATTAATGCATGGAGTTAAAGCACCCCACCCAAACAACCACTAAAAACTACTCAAAATCTGCAGCAAAAGGGACCGAAGGGGCAGCAACCAAGGGAAAAACGAAGCATCAAAATAGCAACCAATGGGCACAGAAATCGAAGGGACAGCAGCCCAAACTGAAGGGACAGCTTTCAAGAGGAAAACACAGCAGCCAATGAACACAAACAGAAAATTAGCCTAGGGAAGTTCAAACAACTTGTTTGGAAATTCCAAACGTCATACACAGCACCTTGAGTGCATCATTTATCCTTCTTAGTTTATAACACATCAATCTTAACATTTTCATTTCTACAACTCAACATACATATCCATGACTTTTCTACATTCTAGCATTCAAATCCATATAATATTACTGACCTAATTGCAGTTTTATAAAAAATTATCATTAAACTTCTATGATATCATCTTATGACATAAAACTCTTGAAGGACTTCTCCATTTTGATCATTCAAACTTAACTTTAAAAGTTGTCATCATCTATATCTCAATTTTTTTTCTATATAGCATATTTAATATACTTCAATCTATTATAGTTATGTATCACCATGTATTCTAATAATATTGAAAGCTAATTGATAAAATTACACCCATTAAAATTATATATCATATATTAACTCTTATTTTCTCGAACTTAAAGAGCTCTATCTTCTGAATATTTCACCAAAATTACAATTTTTCACTTGTTTCCAGTGTTTTGAAAACCGGACCGAACTAGTTGGTTTGATCCTAAACTAGTCAAGTTGCCCATTCGATCAATTATATTTATATAATTTTAATATTTATTATGTCATCTGATTCAACGCCGGTTGAACCATAAAACTGTGAACATCTACTTATTATGATTTCATGTTCGATATAATTTTTAGAATCTTGCTTATTTCAATAAATGTCTCACCAATTATACAATATCATCTGCCAAAATCATACATCTAAGCACCTTGCTTTGAATATCATTTTTAAGCATCTACATACCTACATCCTTAATGTAATCCTATAGTAATTTGAAACTCTTGGATCTCTCAATGCTACTTCTAAAACTGTCATATTTTAAAAAAATATTTCATATATATTTTTAGTAGCATCAATGCACCTTTGACATACAATTCTACCTTAAAACACAAAAAGTCAATTCATATAGACTCGATATGTACCTTATCAAGATCAAGAAAAAACATATGAAGTTCCTTTTACTTCATATTGTACTTCTCAATTAAATGTCATACCAAAAAAACTTATTTCCATTGTAAATATTCATAGCATGGAATAATTTTTTTTCAAAATTGATGTGATTTTTCTAAGAAAATGTCCGATTACTCCCTCTCTTACATTTATTATATGAATCATAAATTTAATTCCTCTATAATTAGCCAAATATTGAGTAGATCTTTGTTTAAAAATAATGATATCAAAATGTTTCTTTTTTAATCATTTGGCATCCTTATAATATTCAATTTTTATTTAAAAATCAAATCACGACAATATTCTACATAACTTCACATCTTAATAGATATCTCATTGTTTTTTAAAGCAAAATCCGCTTCAATTTTCTTGATTAATATATAATATATGTCATTATATTGTTCATTATACTCCCCAAAATTATGCCTAATAAAGTTGTTAATGTTACCTCTTAGGAAATTATCCATTAATACTATTCCTATCATCCTATGTTGATAAGTCAACCAAATATTTATTTTGTTTTATGGTTTTTTGTTTTTAATTTAATTTTTATAAAATTTATTCAATAACATCAACATATCCATGAATTTATTTCTATTAACTTCATGAAATTCTAAAAATATAAAATCTTATCAATCTAGTTGATTTCCAAGGTACATAATTCTTTATGTTTAATTTTTAACATTTATTAATGTTTATAAAATGATGATGCATATCCATATGATATACACACTTATTTGAGTCGAACTTATACGTAAATTCAGTCAATCTGAAATTTTAAAAAAAATCATTTTATGTTCTCCTCCTTTCCTTCTTTTGAAATAAAATTATTATCCATTGAAAAGTGATAGCAAAAATCTTATAGTTTGAAGTTCTAATATAGAACTAACATGCAATGTAGATTTGGATGCAACTAAAGAATATAAAAAACTGCAATTTTTTGTAGAATGCGCACTAATACGTTAAAACAATCATTTAGTACATTTAATAAAAACCATACCCTCAACTCAATATTGAAGAAAATACATGCAAGTTAATTCTTTGTGCAAACAAAGTCTATTTCAACATCATTTCTAGCAACATGAACTTGAATAAAGGGGTATCTAATCTCAATTTGTTTGATAAGTAAATGTTGAATTTGGATTTAGTTAATCTAATAGAACCATAGTATCATCACACTTAACCATAATATACTTTAAGGGGGCTGTTTGGTACATAAAGTAAAATGGGTGTATAGTATTCCAAATGCATGGAGAAAAAGAAACATGTATAGAAATTATTAATAAAGATTTCCTCTCATATATTTAACACCTTATGTAACACTTAAAAAGAATAGATGAAGAAGAAGAAATCATAAATATGACCAAAAATTTAGGATATGCATTATGCATCAGCCCGATGACCAAAACCACCAGCAACTTCATCACTAGCATGGGAAGTTGAACTTTGCATAATGTCTTTAAACCAGCTAAAAGGTTCAAGATGAACAGTAACAATGAAATTAAATTTCACTAAGGACTCAATTGGTCATTGGTAGATATAAAACATATTTTAGAAAACCTTGAAATATACTTGATCCTTTCATATGGTTGGACATAATTAGAAATCAACACTCTTTTTAAACTTCAGAAACCCCCTGAGATGTGGTGATTTCATTTCCCACATACATAATGAGTGATTTTTTTTCCTTAAACATATCCTCAACTACATACAACCTAATGAACCATAATACCTATTGATATTCTCTAAGTATTTCAACGGCACACAAAGATTAGGGCACGCTTACAAAAATTTACAAAATATGAAGACATTAATAAAAATGATGAAGGCATCGGATCAACTGCCCCAGCCTCCCGACAAAACCCTCAGTTTCACAGCACAACGTACATAATGTGAAATGGATGGATACCGTAACTAATACAAGCAAATCCCTGACCTCCAATTCCATTTATTACTAAGATTTAAAAATCTAACCCGACATACAGCAATAAACCAAATAAAACGAGACAAGCAGAAATGTTACCTTTCTAAGAGCAGTGGCAAGTTCACCCCTGGTGAAGTTGGCAACGGCGGCAGTGTTCAGCGGGATGCCATTCCTGAACTGGTAGAGATGCACGTTCTTTTGGATGTACTCGATGAACTGAACCCTAGGGCCAATTGATGACAGCGAATACGGACAAGGGATTCAGATAAGAAAGAACAAGTGAAAGGGATTAGAATAGAGTAAGGACGGACCGATCGCCGGCCTCGCCGGAGACGCCGAGGAGCTTGTGGGAGTCGAGGACCAAAACCTTGTCCTCGTTAGATTTGTGGACGAGTATACTATGGACAGCGGATGAGTCCGCAGCGATCAAAGCAAAGCCGTCGCCGACAAGCCCGAAAACGCACTCCATGGCCGCCTGTGATGTTCCGATCCTTCGCACAGAGTCCCGAGAGAGATGGAGAGATTCGTGGGCAAGTTTTAGAGGGAGATCAACCTTCTTTACTTGGGGAATAAGCTCTAGCGAGCGTGGGTTCGACAGAATTGAAAGTCGGTTTATATTTGTTTGAGGTCCATTTAATAATTTTTTTATTATTTTTTAGGGGTATTATATATATAATCCCAAAATAGATTTTTTTTTTAATATAGATTTTTCATTTTATATATTGCATAACTTTAGAAATTAGAAAATATAATCCTTATTTTATTTTTTAAAGGAAATATATTAATAAGTTTTTTTTAAGCAAAATAGCTATGCTTCAGACGGCACACTTTTTTTATGCGACAATTAAAATTGATCTGAACAACATTCAAATAAAATTCGATCGAGATTGAGAGCATATGCAAAAAATATGATTCATAATCGAAAATTAGTCATACATATTTTTATTAAAAAAAAGATAATCTAATCAAATTGATTCTAAAAAGATTCAAATAAGACATTGTTAGTAGAAATTATAAAATAATTGAATTGAATATTCAAATAAGTGTCATTCAATGTTTAACATAATATAGCAAGTTGAGAGATTAATCACAGCGTGACATGATACACCAAATTCATTAATATAATATTGGTTAAATAATGATCAAACAAGATTCAAATAGGCTCAAACATTGTGGTTACAATAGAACGTAAGTTACAACATAGTTAACTAATATTCACAACTTATTAAAATAATGAGCATTACATCATTATACAACCAATCAATAATATAAATTTAATGGTTCGATTTGATTAATGGGTAGGCGCATCCTTTGAGCCTTATTAAAGGGTTTCCCCGATGCTTTTTCGATTTCCTTTGCTAAAATTATTTTTATAATCGTTGCAAAACTATACTATTAAAGCACCATTTTGTATTGTCTTAAAAATTCTAAGAATATAATTATCGTATAAGAGTGTTCACTCTTCGTGATATTTTTTAAGCCCTCTAAAAAACTAATCGTCATTAAATTATATTGATTTTTAATGAAGAAAGCATAAGTCTATCTCTCAAACTAACTTCATTCTCAAGATAAGATATTTTGAGTAGATTTTTAATATGTATTTTGTTGAAGTGCCTAAAGAACTCAACTCGGTCTTTTGTAAGTCTAGGGCTCCAAGTGATGCTCCTCATAATAATTATTGATTTTTATCTTGGCCTAGTTATTGATTGTCACATGATGTGTAATATCTTAATGATGTACCTTTAGAAAAATGATTAATAAAATATTGACAATATTATTATGTTTAACAAACACAAACATCAAATTTTCAACTATGTCTATATACTCAACCTAATCATAAATTATAGCCATAAGGTATTATTTTTTAGTTGAACGTTATAAATACCACATAAAAAGTCTGTGCATTGACATCTTGCATCATTATTACAAGCAAAATATCTTCATAGTATGTATTCAAGAATATTTCAGCCATGATTATTGTTCAGTGGCGTGTTGTCATGCACTCTTGAATCATTGAATATAATTACCTAAAAAGAAATATGCATATTTGAAATAGTTATACGCATGGTTTTATTATACATCATAACTAAATATGATAGATTCTGAATGATGTTTTGGGCACCCTCTCACTTAGGTGATAACCACTCAGGACACACATCATAACTAAATAGTGCAATTTCTCTTCATATAGTCATATTTGACTTGATGTTATGATTAGATGTGCTACTAGCTTATCTTTGATTATATATCCAATGAGCCACGATTGAGCTTGCTAATGGTCTCTACATCCTTATATCTAATGTAAAACTCATTACCTCAAACTAACTTAAATTTGTCAATTTATATGTTTACAAGCTATGTGAATTTGTTTCTGAGTAATACATGTACATATTTGTTTGCATGATAATATGATTTCACCAAGTTCGTTGGTGTAATCTCTCTTGAGGGAAGAAACTTGACTCTATTACAACTACAATGAAGAAACCATAAGTGAAAAGAGTGAATGTTTTTCCTCGTATATAACAATATACGAGTATAGTATAACAATGAGTATTTTAGCCCAAAAGAAGTTTCCGACATATTTTCAAAAAATAAAAAAGAGAACTTATTTCTCCAATTTAAAAATTATAATATATATAAAATTATATTTCACTTTCTATAAGATTAAAAAATATGTTATATTATTATATATTTTAGAAAGGTTATAGAGATATTTAAAAATTGAAGCTGAATATAGTATTTCAAAGGGCTCTCTCTAATCTTATAGTCTTAAGGCTTTTCATGTTAGTAGATTTAAAATCAAATACATGGAGTAATTTTAGTAATAATAGATGTACTGGGTAGATTATGACTTTGAACAATCAAGTTATTAATAAGAGTACATATTTTAGATATCTCGTGTTTATTGTTCAGAGTGATGGTAAATTTTTAGTAGAATTCAAGTTGAATGGTTGACGTGGATGAATGCATCGAGTTTATTATGAGGTAGAAAAGTACCCCTCAAACTTAAGGGAAAATTCTATAAGATGGTGGTGAGACTTGAAATGATTTTATGGGGAAGAATTATAACAACTTAAATTTTTAAAAATAATTAAAAAAAGAAAATTACAATTTATATTTAAACTGGAGTGCTATGATGTTGAGCTTGTGAGCATTGAGGAGTTGGATCTTGAGCTCAACGACGTCAAAGGATGTTGTCGCCACATTGAAGGCTCTATTATATAGTAATTCTAAAGTAAGCATCCAGTGTTGTGGTGCTAGATGATGGTGTTGTGGTGGTACCCACTAAAATTCATTTTTGTATATTTTCTCCTCCACTCACCAATCCTCATGCCCTCTCTCATTGTGTCGGCTTGCCGTGGAAGGAAGAAGAAATAAAGAGGGGAAGGATGAGAGAGAGAGAGAGAAGGAAAATATGATTTTTGGTTGCCAATTTAGGTTGTTGTCTCTACAAAAATTTCGTATATTATGGTAGGTGACTTCTTCCCTACTTCTGTTTTTAAATATTTTAATTTCGAATATTTTTCTCAAGCTAATTTTTATTGCATTTTCTTTAGATTTAATGAACTTCTACTGTATAACTTTTTATATGTTATGGTATTAAACATTCTAAACATTTTGGTTGGTTAATTAGTTTTAAATTTCATTGGGTAAAAGGAAAGTAATTATATTTTGTATAACTTGCACTAAATAGAAATAGGGTATTTTTATTTTAAACATACTTTAATATAAGCATTGGAAATGAATGTGAGCATGAAGTTAAGTAATAGCTGGTCATTATTACTGTTATAATATTATGAAAATGAGATATGTGTGAAAAAATAAGTAGAGGTTGGTTATTCATTGACGTTGGCTAAAGACTGACTAACTTGTATAGGATGGCCAGCCAAAAAGATTTCTCTTAAATGATGTGATTTTGTAGTATCCTTTACTAATTCAAGTGATTCACTAATAGGGAGTTATAAAGAGTTATTTCTATGCTGATGAAAAAGAGAAACAACTTTGTTTATTGAGCCAACGGTTGTTGATTACTGATGCTGAAAAAATACCGCTTCAATAAGAACTTCTTACTAGTTCCATATAATTACTGAAATACATACTACTAAGTCACTATTATTGTTCTGCTTTGCTAATACTTTATTGGTTTATTAGCATTATATGGATCTACTGTTATTGTTACTATTATTGTATTATTTAACTGTTACTGTCACTAACAATACTGATAGCAATATTCATATTGATATTGTTATTGTACTTATTAATATACTATCACTGCTGAGTATATATGGATTCATTGGTGCTATTAATGGTACTGATTTCTTGTTATTGATTATGTAAGATTATGAGCATGTAATTTTTACCGATATTATTATAGAATAGTTGAATAGCATGTGTATACTATTATATCATTTTACTAAGTTTATATGATTTTGACAGTCTTTATCGAAGTTTTGATTTTATCAATGTATATGATTTCTTAATTGATTGATAGCACTATTTTGACGATTCGACGTCTGTATTGATTTATCGATTTCCCTACGTACTATTGAGTTCATTATATATGAATTCAATTTTTAGTTCATGGTAGAGAATCATGAGTGTGAGATTGATCAGGATTTTTTAGGTTCAATTCTTTCTTATTTTAGTTATTCTTTTGTACTAAGAAATTAATAGATCTGATATAATTGTGTGATCCATGAGTATTGTATATAATTTTAAGAGTTGTTGCGTCCTAGAGTATTCGCGGCGGTAGAGAAATATTTAGTTTAACGTCTTAGCATTGTACGAAGATCCAGCACACAAGCAGATAAGTGAGAGGGTGTAGCATTCATAAGAGACACCAGAGTTTTTACGTGGAAAACCCCTGAAAAGGGGGAAAAACCACGGGGCCTGGCCCAGTTTGAATGAATCCACTAGTATTTGTAGTTGTTACAAATGAGGCTCTTCCTTCGGAGAAGGCCTTGGATTGATGTAGCAAATGTACATCATGCAGATTACATTACATAGTAGGAATTACATATACATGTTTGTCTGGTCGGAAGGAACATAGTAGGCGACGAAGGCCTGAAGGACCGTAGTCGGTAGGAGACTGGGGTCTGAAAGACCGTTGTAGTAGGGCAGTACTTTGGAAGAACTCTGGACGTCAGGTAGTGGCCCAGCAAAAGTCCAGGCCTCAGGTGGTGTTCCGACAAAACAACGGCGTAAGGTGGTAGTCTAGCGGAGGAGAGAGCCTTTGGCGAAGATGAGGGCCTCTGGCGAAGGTGAGGGCCTCAGGTGAAGGTGAAGGCCTCAGATGTTGGTTAGGGCCTTTGACGAATGTGAGGGCTTCTGGAGAAGGTGAGGGCCTCAGATGAAGACGTCAGGCCTGAAAGTCGGGCATTGAGCAGAACGTTGGGCATGAATGTCAGGCCTTTAGTAGCACGTCGGGCGACAGTCT